CAGATTTCAGGATATTCATAAAATGGAGTTAATTAGCTCACCATGCAATGATGTGAATCAAAGAATAAAATATTTATGAAAGTGGTTGGAAACTATAAAGCACAAAGATTGCAGACATTCTTCAGAAAATGAAACATTATTACAGATATTTTAGTTGTTTTACCACATATGCACTAAAAGAAGCTTCCTCTTTACCTTATAATATTAGAAATATAATTACCAAGGTTGCATGTCCATAATTCTATAAATAAGATATTAAGGTAGATAGAGAAAATTGTGCCTTGAAAACTGTGAGAAAGGATGTCTTCTGATGCTGAAGAAAAATCTCTCTTCCAAATGCTTCCTCAGACTCATGAACACACTTGGCATAAGATAATAGTGCACTTTTTTAGAAAACTCTAATAATGTTTGAAAAGGTCCTATCAAATTGAACAACAGTGAGAGCAAAAGTAAAGGAGACAAAAGAAGTTCTTTAAAAAAAAAAAAGATTTATTCATTTATTTGAAAGTCGAAGCTACACAGAGAGAAAAGGAGAGGCAGAGACAAAGAGGTCTTCCATCGGCTGGTTCACTCTCCAGTTGGCCGCAATGGGCGAAGCTGCACCAATCTGAAGCCAGGAGCCAGGAGCTTCCTCTGGGTCTCCCACGCAGGTGCAGGGGCCCAAGGGCTTGGGCCATCCTCCACTGCTTTCCCAGGCCATAGCAGAGAGCTGGACTGGAAGAGGAGCAGCTGGGACATAAACTGGTGCCCACATGGGATGCTGGTATTTCAGGAAGTGGCTTTACCCACTATGCCACAGCAACGGCCCCAGAAGAAGTTCTTAACTAAACTTACCATCCCTCCTCCTTCTTTGTGATAATCATCTTCCATTATCTATGTTTCTGTAATGTAGTAGTTCAAAGTTTAAAACTCAGATTATGTCATATTTCTTTTAAAGGCAAGAGGAGAGGGGGAGAGAAGTAAAATGAGAAAGGGAGAGAGACAAAAGCTTCCCAATTCATTTGTACTAAAGATTCTCTCTCTCCCTCTCTATAACTCTCAAATAAATAAGTCTTAAAAAAAGGGACAGATGTATGTATTTTCTAATTCATTATAGTTCTCTATAGTTTAAATTGTAAAATTTATTTTTTAAAAGATTTGTGGGGCCAGCGCTTTGATGTAGTGGTAAAGCTGCCGCCTGCAGTGGTGGCATCCCATATGGACATGAAAGACTTCATCCTCCCCCCCCCCCCCGCCTCTCTGTAATTTTCTTTCAAATAAATAATTAAATAAATCTTTTGGGGAAAAAAAGATTTATGTTATTTGAAAGGCAGAGTTAGAGAGAGAAAGAAGAGAGGGAGAGAGAGAGAGAGAGAGAGAGAGAGAGAGAGAGAATCCTCCATACACTGGTTCACTCCCCAAATGGACACAATGGTTGGGGGTGAGCCAAGCTGAAGCTTGAAACCAGGTACCCTGTCTGGGTCTCCCATGTGGGTGGCAGGGGCCCAAACACTTGGGCCATCTTCAGCTGCTTTCTCAGGCACTTTAGCAGGGAGGTGAATGGGAAGCGGAGGGCCAGGTCTTGAACTGGCTGGCACTCATATGGGATGCCACCTGCTGTGCCACAACACTGGCCCCTGTCATATTTGATTTTTAAAAAACAACTCTGTTCTAGTTAAGCAATACACATCTTTTTTTTTTTTTTTTTTTAAACAGGCAGAGTGGACAGTGAAAGAGAGACAGGGAGAAAGGTCTTCCTTTTGCCGTTGGTTCACCCCCCAATGGCTGCTACGGCTGGCACACCGCGCTGATCCGAAGCCAGGCCCCAGGTGCTTCTCCTGGTCTCCCATGGGGTGCAGGGCCCAAGGACGTGGGCCATCCTCCACTGCACTCCCGGGCCACAGCAGAGAGCTGGAAGAAGAGGAGCAACCGGGACAGAATCCGGCGCCCCAACCGGGACTAGAACCCAGTGTGCCGGTGCTGTAGGTGGAGGATTAGCCTATTGAGCCGCGGTGCCGGCAACAATACACATCTAACTGGGGGCTGGTGTTGTTGTAAAGCATGCTGGGTCACCATATGTGACACCAGCATCCTATATCAGAGTGCCAGTTCAAAACCTGGCTGTTCTGCTTTGGATCTAGCTCCCTGCTGATGCACCTGGAAAGAAACATAGGATGGCCAGAGTATATGAGTCTCTGCCATCAACATGGGAGACCAAGATGGAGTTCTGGGCTCTTGGCTTCAGGCTGATCCAGCCCTGGTCATTGTGGCCATTTGAGAAGTAGACTAGCAGCCAAGAGATTTCTTTCTCATTCTGTCTCCCCCTTTCTCTCTGTCATTCCGCCTTTCAAATAAATAAAATAAATCTAAAATAAGAGAAATGAGTGAGTAAACATTAAACTGTTCAACATCACAGAAGAAGTAAGTGGTGAGGGCAGGCTTAGATCTTTTTACTATTTATTAACATCTCTCCAGAGATGAACTGAAGCAGGAAACCATTTAAAAGGTAATGAAATAAAATTTTGGTAAAACATTTGGTGTCTAAGGAGATGGCAATGGAAAGGACAATAAAAGGATAAATACAAGTAAAATTCTAAATTATTATAATTAAGTTTGCATGGTCAAAGATAAAGCTTTCAAAGTTTTGAATCAAACTACAAATTTTGCTGTATATATAATATGATCATAAATACATTAAAATCTCAGACTTCAAAGTTATGTTTGGTACAGTATGCATGACACCTCATAGTTACACTTTGTTTAATGTTACTTTCTTCACACATACATATTTCAAAATCACATCACTAATAATCATGGCTAATTGTTCTAGCTTTTAATCCAAATTGGTAACATCATGAATGTTTATAAATATAATACATTGCAATAAAATGGTTAAAAATAAAATTCTGGGGTGATCCAGAGCTAGAGTAAAAGACTATGTTAAATCGGTAGGATGTCCAGAACACTATCCACCAAGTTGTGCTAACTATAAGACTAAAATAAATTCTATCCCAAAAATCTAACATAAGAGCTGATGCCTTTCCTCAAATCCAATTCAAGGTGATGAAGTTGAGTGTGCCTTCCCTGGCAATTCAAGTAGAATGTAACATAACAGTGGGTGCTATCAGAGCTTCTTACCCAAATACCTCAACTTTAGCAACAGGTTAGACTCTAAGCGCAAATCTCACTAAACTGGATTCAAGTTCTTCTTAAGCCTCTGCCTCCCATTACCTTTTTTTTTTTTTTTTTTTGGTTTATATTTAATTATACAACCCACACCTTGAGTTCATCACCAAAACAGAGAAGTAGAACCTTGACAGTAAGTTCTGCTTTGCCTGTGTGCTCTTGTGCTATCCATTCATCTGCTTCCCCTCACCATCAAGTTCTCATTAAAAACAATACTGGATGCTTTTCAATGGAGTATAATATGTTACATCATATTATGAAGCAATATATGCATGGGATTGAGCATCAGAAGCAAAGTTTGGTGAAAACAGCTACTTAGTGGCAATGAAGTAGTGCAGTGCTTTTGTAAAACAATTCAGCACAAATGTACAATTAATATCCTCTTCTCTCAAACACTTATTTCTACAATAATCAATCCCAAGGGAAGAATACAAAGTATAAAAATATAATGTATAAGAGGATGTTCAACACAGTGTTAATGGTAAAGAGGAAAACCTAGAGACAATAAAATGGTTCAATGTGAAGAAAATGATTAAGAAAAGAAGTACTATACATTGAACTAAGGTCCTTTATTTACCTAGGCCACAAGTTTAAACTGAAAACTGTCATGTCATACTTTTTGATTGTTTCTCAAATTCACAGAACCTAGCTCTTTATCCTTAATATAATATAGAATGCTAAATTAAAAAATGAGTGGACAAGCTTGCACTGTCAGATCTGTTTTATAACAAACTTCAAAGTCATATCAAAAGATAAAGAAAATAGATAAAACCTTGATGTAAAACTTTATAATTATATATATAAAGGGAAACATATTTTCTGAGCTAGATAACATGAGCATTATCCTTTAAAAGTAAGATTTTAATACTCAAATTATGAACTGGAAATATTTTTTTCAAAGCAAAATGCCACTGAAGGATGAATGCAGAGTATAATAAAGAACTACATTAGTTGGCTTTATCCTACAAGAGAGTCAAAATAGGAAAAGCCCAATAGCAAGCCAAATTTTAATAAATCATGCTTAATTAAAAATAAAAATAAATACATAAAATACAAGTGATTTGTGAAGTAATAAGGAGGAGAATAGAGATTCATAGTCAAAATTAAAACATTTATCAACTTTTTTATGTGGTAATTTACTTCCGTTACTGTTTCAGAAAGCTAGTTATCATTCACACTGGTGCTCCAAATCTCTAGACTGCAGATACTTTGTGTGGAATAAAGAATTAATAGAAAAGATATTTAAATCAATATGTATTTTCTTAATCAATAAGTACCAAAAATATAACAACTATTATTTAGAGGTGTGAAATTACTTTAGACATCAAAATAATATATGAATAGATGTTATCTAGAACATACAGTCCAAATGAAATTGAAGGATTTATTAAATAACACTGTCATTTCCTTTAGAACAATGTGAATCTCAATCTAAACATTATTATTTATTCAAAGGTTGAATCAAAATGGAACATAGTCTTAAATGTAAAACTAAAAAACTTTTGGAAGCAAATATAGGAAGAAATCATAATGTGGCATTATCAAAGAATTCTTAAATGTGCTACCAAAAGCACTGTCTATTAATAAATGATCAAAAGGCTGTCATCAAAATTAAAATTAAAATTGATCTGAATCGTATGAAAATATAAAATGAACTAATAGCATTATATTTAGCATTATACTCCAGCAATAAATAGATCATGTGTGGTCATACATATAATCTAAACTTAAAATATGTGAAAACAAGAATTTTCCGTTTGACTTGGCAATAAGCATGCTACCCCAATTAGATTTGTTACTTTTTTATTTAGCGAAAATTAATCATAAACACTTACCAGCAGCTTCAAGAACCAGTTGTAGTCTGGCTTTGGCTTGCTCAGCTGGTGGCTAAAAACCAATCATAAAAGACATTTACAGATCAGATTTAGTTGATGGAGCTTTAAAATCAATGCACTGTATATGTGAGTATCAGAAAATTTAGAGACGCTTATCATAATCAATATTAACATCCATCTACATATTAACAAAATTTCGTCACAGGAGTACTACCGATTTTCTCTCACCTTCACAAATTATACTTTTTGTTATTATTCATAGGATTCAATAATGACATTCTTTTTTTTTTATTGGAAAAGGGCCCCTTTACTACCCAATGGTGTACCAATCAGAAATAACATAAATAACTGAAATATCATGAGGCAAAATTCACATATGTGATTATGTGAATATTCTCTAGTTGTATTATTTCTTCACATATGAAAACATGCAAGTGACCTATTAGAATATAAATATAGTAGAAATTTGAAGTCTAACATCTCAGGCATTTTTAACCATAAAACCAAATATTTTGGTTTTCTAATGATTTGAAAGGAACAACCGTGTCAAAGACAGGGCACAATATAACTTCTATGCTTTTAATTCCTACTAATGGTCCTAAAATTGTTCTCAGTGATCCTTGACTCAAAGGAGTAGATAATGCTGAAACTGAACTACTTTCCTACTAATAATCTTACACCGGGACTTCTGTATAACAGCCTGATAGTATGTAAACTATAACATGGATTGCATCAAGGTTACCTAAGATCTGCTGAAAACTGTTGTCAGTATTCAGGACTTTACTTCACCACAAATTTATAAAGATAACCATAATAAACTAAATAGGTAATTTAAAGGGAAAACCTAAATAACTCCATGTTCACATATAAAAACAGCATTTTAGAATTAACATTTCATGTGATACATTTGAATATCATGTTATTTGTGAAAAAAATCAACCTGAATGAAAAGAATTAAATAACTGGGTAAAGAAAGATATGCTCAAGAAGGCTTACGAATTTGAGCAGTGGCACAAGCATTTGGTTTAGTGGTTACAATATCTTTTAGGATATCTGCTTTTCATATTGGAGTGCCTGGCTTGAGTCCTGACTCTGCCTCTAATCGAATGCACATCCTTGGAGGCAGCAGGTGTTGTCTTAAACGCCATGGTCTCTGCCACCCACCTGGGAGATCTACAGTGGGTTCCAGGCTATTGGCTTCAGCATTACCCACTCTGGCTGTTTAAGGCATCTGGGGAGGGAACCAGCAGATAGAAGATTGACCTCTCTCTTTTTCTCTTCCTCTCTCTGTCTCCCTCTGTCTCATCCTCCCTCTCTGCCTTTCAAGCAAAAGTGAAAATAAATAAATAAATAAATAAATAAATAAATAAAGCAAATGATTTGGGGCCAGCATTATGGTGCAAAAGGTTAAGCCACAAACTGTGATGCCAGCATCCCTTATCTGAGCACCAGTTAGGTCCCAGCTACTCTGCTCCCAATCCAGATCCCTGTTAATGTGCTTAGTAAAGCTGGGGAAGATGGACCAAGTACTTGGGCTCCTGCCCCGCCAGTGGGAGATTTGGATGGAGTCGCATGTTCTTGGCTTCAGCTTGGCCCCATACCAGCCATTGTGGCCATTTGGCGAGTGAACCAACAGATAGAAGATCTCTTTCTCTCTGTGTCTCTCCTTTCTGTGATACTCTGCCTTTCCAATAAAGAAAATAAATCTTGGGGCCAGCATTGTTGCATAGCAGGTAAAGCCAAAGACTGTGATGCTGGAATCCTATATGGGCACTGGTTAGTGTCCCAGCTGCTCCACTTCCAATCCAGTTCTCTTCTAATGTGCCTGGGAAAGCATAGAAGATGGCCCAAGTGTTCGGCCCCCTATACCCATGTGGGAGACCCATATGAAGTTCCTGGCTCCTAGCTTTGGTACAGGCCAACCCTGGCCATTGAGGCCATTTGGAGAATGAATCAGTGGATGGAAGATCTCCATCTTTCCCTCTCTCTCTCCGTACCTCTGTCTTTCAAAAAAATAAGTTTTTTGTAAAAAATAAGAATGGAAATGTGAGAGGAAGGAGAAAGAATGGTGGGAGTAAGGAAGGGAGGGAGGCAAGGTGGAATGAATGTTCCTAAATCTGTATACATGAAATGCATGAAGTTTATATTTCTCAAATATAATTTAAATATAAATGAAAGGGTAAATTTAAAAATAAATAAATAAATCTTTAAAAATGTCCAATTTTTTTTCCTTGTAGCTGTCACAATCCTACTGTTTGACTTGGGACAGTATTGTATATCATAGAACAATGATAGCCCTGTAAACAGAAGCCTGATTTTATAAATAGGTTTCACTGGAACACAGCCAACTCATTTACATATTGTCTATGGCGCTCTGTGCTCAATTCAACAATAGAAGTTGAGCATTTGTAGCAGGAGCCTTATAACCAGCAAAGCCTAAAAGAACCATGATTTAGACCTTTAAAAAAGTATGCTGACTCCTGCCACAGAAGATGGAGAGAGTTAGAATTTTAAACATAGAAGTGATGTGCTAAGTCTGCCTTTAGATACATTATTCTAGCAAAATGTTTGAGGATGAGTCGAAAGGAATGTGACTGGGGCAAAGAGATCAGCAAGGTGGCAATTAAAGAATTCCAGGTGAGATGATGAGTACCTGAGCAGAGGCAGGAGTAGAAAGCTGGGCAGGAGGAATTCCGTTTGAGAAACATTTAACGAGGAAAACAAAGGGACTGACTGGATTATTGTGGGAGGTGTGAAACACAAGAGTATGTTGTACGTTTGTAGGGGGGATGTATTTAAACATTCCATATGAAGTTATAAAGCATGGAAAATATGTGACTTCAAATTAAAATGTCACAGCAAAATATCAATAGAAGACTGTGTGACATCTACTGACTATAATTTAACAGTCATAAACAAAAATGTGTATGGGGCCAAGCAGTTAATATAAACATTTATGATGATAAATGGCAACTGACATTCATCACTAGTATTAATACTAGCATTAGTATTAGTAGTAGGGAGCTCAGAAACTGTAGAGCAAGTGCCCCAGCTCAAGGAAGCTGTGGACACTCAGCATCAACTGATTGCTATAATGCAGAAGTGCAAGCCCAGGCTTATGAAATTTGTTAATTTTTCACAAGAATTAAGTCACCATGAAAATTAATACTATGTGGAACAAACAGTATTTCTCTGCACTAGGTTCAACCCCAAGACCTCTGCCATCTACTTACCACACATAGTAGAAACTTGATACTTTGTGCAATATAACATAACTAGAATAGCAAGAAAGATATGATATACCTGGCTCTAAGCAAGCTAAGAATTATAAAGCATACATTTAAGAATGTCCTTGTAAGCAGTGAGTATTCTTTGATAGAAAAATCCTAGACACTTTACTGGTTAAGTTTTTTTTTTTTTCATTTCACAGAGAAATTTTTTTTTTCACCAGAAGCCTTTCATTTGAAGACTATAAACTTCATGCATCTCATAACTTTAGAAACAGTGATTCTTCCCCCTGTACCACCCTCCTACCTGCATTCTCACCCCTCTTCTTCCTCCCTCGCCTATTCCCATTCTTACTTTTTACTAAAATCTATTTTTTAAAAACTTTTATTTAATGAATATAAATTTCCAAAGTACAGCTTATGGATTACAATGGCTTCCCCCCCCATAACGTCCCTCCCACCCGCAACCCTCCCCTTTCCCACTCCCTCTCCCCTTCCATTCACATCAAGATTCATTTTCAATTCTCTTTATATACAGAAGATCAGTTT